CCACTTTCTAGTCCATTACATTAACTCTTATATCTTATTGGCTATAAGAAATATACTTTGACTTCAACAAACTATTTGACAAAGTAACTAGAATCCTGATTAGCAATTTAGCTAAGTGTAGGCTGTATGGCCTCACAAAACTTAGAGAAACCTGAAGTGCTTCTGATGAGAGCAACAAGGATGATTACGAGTTTAGGAGGTGTCCCTATGAAGAAGGATTGAAGTTGCTGCATATGTTTAGCCTTAGAAAAGATCAGGGGGAGAGGGGGATATAATAGCATTCTTTAAATGCTTAAGAGGATATCATGCAGAAGGCAGAGAAAATCTGTTTTCTCGCATTCCAGAGTACAGAACAAAGAACAGGGGTTAAAATTACAGAAAGGAATATTATGATTGAATATTAGAAAAAAAAAAACCCTTTCCTAACAATAAGAACAGTTTCAGAGCAGAACCAATTACCTAGAGAGGTGATAGGCTCCCTTTCACTAAATGGGATATGTTCAAATGGAGAAATCTGTCTAGAATCCAGATCTTAATTTTCATAAAAAAAAAAAAGTCTTCATCTTAATTTGCATTCTTGTACAGAAGTTGAATAATTAGCCCTACATCTATGCAACACATCATTTTGTAACTGAAGAAAGAATATTTGTAAGTGTGGAAGGTATAACTACACAATTTTGTTTTTAGAACTAACCAGCTGCTTATGATCAGTTTTGCTGCAGCAAAATTCTGACCATATCTATAAATCTGTGCATTTGTGTGCGTGTGCATGTGCACATGTATGCATGTGTGTGCATGTGCAGGTGTATGTGTGTGAGTGCATCTCTCTCTCCCTCTGTGTGTGTGTGTAAAATTTCATGCACAAATAATGCCTTCTACATTAAGTCAGAAGCTGTATATCTTTCCTGTCTTTTCTTGTAGTCCTTTGTACAATGACATTTTCCCTTTGCAGGAAAACCAGGAGATAACATATACTGAACAATTACCTAGACTATGTTTTGTTATAAAAATTGGCAAGATAAAGATGTACTGGAGAGCTGGAACTCTCTCTGCAATGTTCCATTATCTTGATACATTAAAGTTTTCAGAAATCTCCTAGTATATATATTTTTCAGAACTGTAAAATATCGTTGATTTTCATCTACTGAAGGACATATTCTTAAAACTCTAGCCAATTTATGGTTTTCTAATAGTTATCTATAAACCAACATCCAAAATATTTAGAACAATTTATTCTCTAATTCAAGAATTTTCCAATGCCCAGAATCGGAAACTGAATTTTAGCCCTTATATCTCTGAGGAACATTCTAAAAGTCTTTTTATCTTTCTGATAACTCTTATATTTTTCAAATATCTCATTACTTTCAGTAATAGAATTTCTTCAAACATTGCCACATAATTAATATCCAGCAGATATCTTTTTAAAAAAAGATTTGATGCAATATTTTCTGAATATTAGGCTTACCAGCCAACTACCAGCAAATTCACTCTTAATACCATGTAAAGATATAAGGGCTATGCAGTGCTTCAGATGTTTTGAAACATATGTAAGTGCAAATTTAACACCTATTTGTGACTCACTAAAAATGCCATCTCTGCTTTCTGACTCAAGGATGATTATGACCTGCAGACAAGTGCTGCAATCACATTCCAGTACTTTCCATATTTTTGAATAAAAATATATTGTTGTTTCCTAAATATCAATAGCATGATAATACTATAAATTGAATTGCAAGAATTATTCATTGGAAATTTTGTCAGAAGCTTGGATCTGAATGTAACAAAAACTACCATGACCATTAAGTTGGGAAGGTTTTGGAAAATAAGGGGGTTAAGATCTTATGGAATTTTAAGATCTAAACAGAGAGGCATCTTGTTCATAACATATCTGATATAACACTAATTGAAAAGAAGAATATCTGGTTTGTGGATGTTGCTAAATCAGATAATACTAGGATTGAGAAAAAGAAAGTGGAAAAAATTACAAACTACCAGAACTTGCTGATCAAACTTGAACATTTTTGAAAAAGAAATATGCTGTTATACCAATATGACTGGAGCCCTTGAAGCAACACCTAAATAACTTTTCTATTTAAAAATTTTAATTTGTTGGACCTGAACACCCTAATTTTACAAAAAAACCTACCCTGTTTGTAACTATCTACATTCTCAGATACTACCTTAATAATTCTTAGGTCCTTAGGTTAGAACTTGAATTATTAAGTTTCCACCAATCTTTGTCTGTGAATCTAATTGTAGATATCATAATCGTCATCGTCATCATCACTTAGTATTATTATTAATGTGGACCTATGCAGCTGTGCTGCTTTTAATATATTTGCAATTTTTTATTTTAAAACCTGCACGGTAAAATTGCAGTGCAGATATACCCATGGAGAGTTGTACAGTGTTTAGATGCAGAATGGACATTTATGCAGTACCTATTGTTAAGTCCTTAAAGGAGATGTGCTGTTCCTGGTTTTGTGTGTTACCTGCCCAGGCTTAGGGAAATATGTGATGGAGTTAAAAAAATGTTAAGGAAGCAGTAACATTGATAGATTAACGTGCTGGCTTCACTGGTATCACTATATCTTGACTTTTGGCTTCATTTATTCAATTTGTTGGAAAACATAAAAAAAAGAAATAAAATATATTTGGGCATGAAATGTCATAATAATTGGAAGATTTTCCCTTTTTTAAACCACATATACATTGAAGAATTAATTTGTATTAGGCACAGTTTTCCAGCCCACTTTTTCTACACAAAGGCTGAGTCCTCTGAGTTTTTGAGTAAGAAAAACAATTTTAAATTTTGCAAAGTTTGCTTTCCCAGCTTGTGAAACTTGTATGTTGCTGACAGCAAAATAGTGCAAGTAGGTTTGCAGATCTTTTCTCTTGTGCGTTCTATCTTGTACTTCTAATTTGTACATTTTACTTAATGGCTTTTATTCAGTCTGGGTCGCTGAATAAAGATCATCCAATCATTTCCCATTACATTTTTCCTATTGCCTCTAGCATATCTGAATCTGAATTGTAGATTGGTCTTTAAAACTGAGCAACATTATGATTTGTACTCTATTTAGAGAATTGTGCACATGGATTTTTTCCTGTGCCCTGGTGATGGTTTGACTCTAAGCCAAACCTTTTTATCTTTCATGCAGGTAGAGATGAAAAAATGTATTTTTCTCCCTATTGGTTGATATAAGGAAATATGTTTCCTTTCAAAAGCACCAGACCCTCAAATGTGAGCTTTAAGCATCAGTTTTTCTCTTTTCAGAGTTCAAGTGTAGTATCCACTTTTTCCACGATGGCCAATCAGATATTTTCTGGGGGATGGGGAGCTAATCCAATTAGTATATTTATCATTGGTTACTCTTAAAATGACAAAGAAACATTATCAAATAAATAAATCCCTCTTGTTGCCTATCAGCAGGATTCACTACAGTACTTCGACTATGAAGGCTTTATTTAGCTATTATGGCTAATAGTCACAGATAGCCATATATTTAATGACTTTTGCCATCTCCTTTTAAAATTACCTCGTGGTATGAAAGACTTAAAATATTATCATATGTGAAGATTTTCTTGCTTTTGCTAGCTGCCTAATTCTTTAGCCAATCATTTTCAGTGATTAGCTAGTTCTAGTAAGAAGCAGAGATAAAGTTCCTTCCCATTCTCTTTTCACCAGCTGATTTAGAAGTCCACAAACTTCTGTTGTGCTTTGGTTTGATAATCATTTTCCATCTAAGCAAAAAGTTTTAAGTACTTGAACATTTTTCCCAAAGAAATGAGGATGAGAAAGGAAGAGGCTCAAACCCATTGGTTGTCCTGCTTTCAATTCTCTGCACATTACCCTGTGCCAGCATATTCTTTTGAAGATAAGCAACCAAAATTTTAGGAATGTATTCCTATTGGAAGAGTTAACTTCAAAACATGATCTTCCCTATGCACACTTCAAGGCAGAACTAAGAAAGGCTAAGAGAGCCCATCTTCATCCAGGAACATTGGAACACCTCTCATATTTGCAGCCTAGCACCAGACTGAAAAATCCTGCAATGTAGTATCCCTGTTATGATGTTTCTCTTACTCTGAAATTCCCGTCAACATGAACAGTTATGTACTAGAATATTTTAAATCACCTGGAATTATAGGGGTGTAGTAATGTTTTTTTACTACGATGTTGCCGTGGATGTCGAATTAGGGGATGAGCTGTAAGAGAAGACAAGAGGACATGTGCTCCTCCCCTAATAAATAAAATGGAATTGACAGCCATAACAAACTTTGTTCATCTGTGTATGATTCTGTTTGATGAACAAACGGATGCATGAATTCAATGTATCTGGAATTAAAATAGGCTATTATTTCAGGGCATAACACACTGAATGTGCAGGATCATTTGCAGAAATTTGTCTTGCACTGCTTCTATACAGAGTTGTTTTAACAGGTAATTATGTGACAGTGTAAGTGCAGTGGCATTGTTCCAAACACCCACTTTTTTATGATCTGTGACAAAAAGAGCTATAAACCCCTTGGCACATTGTACATTCCTTGTTAGATTGGCTTCCTCCTCTTCTCCTACTCCAGAGTTCATTTCTACTGAGTATTGTTTTAATTGCCCATTATGTGATCATTGTTCATGCCTGACAATTGGTGCTTTCTCTACGGGTAGATTAGTTGCACAGCCTGCTCTGATGGTGGGAACCCAGAAGTGGTACTATAAATTAAAACAATGATCTAATTACTGAACACAAAACAGGGTTGGCACCCTATTAACAATATGCAGTTTAGAGTGTTTAGGGCTGCAATAAGCCAATAAATAAAACTTGTTTTCTCCCTTGTGCTGAAAGCAGCCGGTGTAGCAACCAATGGTATTGCTCAGCTTCAGCTCAGTGTTGTGACAAGCCGTTCTGCTGTGCTGTAAGATTTCAGTGCCAACTCCCCCTCCCCATTACCTCAAAGAGCTGCACTTTTTTTACACCAGGTCCTTGGAAGTACCTCCTCCGCTACCTGAAAAACACAGCACTAAAGGGGTTAAAAAAGCTTCTCTGAAATATGCAGGGAGGAAATCAGACTGAATTGGGGAGGAGAATTACTTGTACAGCACACGCCTTGTCAGTAAGTACGGCTCTCAGCCCTCGGATGCAACGAGACAGTCAGAAGGCAGTGGGCAGCATCACTGGCCACTGATCAAGCCAGCATCCCTTGAGTTGACTCTGGACAGGGAGGCATTGCAATGGCACCAGTAGGCTAATGGTGTCCTGGGATATATGTGACCCTGTTGCTGTGATTCTGCCATCCCACTGTCGTGTTTGCTAGTCACCCAGGGAGCAGGCAAAGGGAGATGCAGTTTGGAAATGAGTGCTGCTAAGCAGGAAACCCAGTGTCAGACGGCCGCACGAATTGTCACTGACCTATGTCGCCAGAAGAGCCTGCCCCAGCTGGACCTGGAAACCTGCAAAGAATTTCTCCTTTTTCCCGACCTGAACGGCCCAGAGCCAGGTACAGTAGCCCCTGTTCCACAGGGAAGGACTTTTATCTCTTTGACTTGCATTCAAATTACAATCTAAGACAAGCTTTCCTCCCCCACCCCAATAACGTGAGCCTTATGCCAATGTCCTGTTTATCACTTTATACCAGCTTTTGGTATCCAAAAGCAGGCAGGCGCTGTTTCTTGCAGAGATGTATTGCCAGGGAGTCAGAAGAAACCTGTTGAAAACAAGTTCTCTAAGTAATGCAGAGAGAGGAGGGGAAAAGGAGAGTATGTGATATGAGGAGGGATTCAAATGCTCATGTTGGGGAAATAAACACTCTTTCTGGCATCAAAGCTGCACCATAAGAAACAAAAAGCAAGCAAGCAAGCAAAACACCATGTGACCTTTGTTGCCAAGAATAAAGTAATATTAAAAAAACGAAACAAAATTAGAGTAGGATGGGAAAAAGCAGTAGCTATAGCGCCAGCCTGTTGAAAAAGGAAAAGAAAAGAGTCAAATTTTAAAATGTACATCTCGGGAAAAACATAATCGACTCTCCTGTAATTAAATAAGAAAAAATATCATTTATCCCTTAAACTGAACTCAGAAGGTGTTGTGGCATTGCTTTTTAAAAACTAATTAACACCTGAGTTTTAAACTGTGAGATTGGAGATGAGTTGACTTCCCAAACATGATGGAAAGTTAAAACAATGAAAGGCTTTCTTTTTCTTCCCATGCCAGACTGTTATATTCTTAGCACTGTTGTTCCCCAGATATAGAAACCTTATTAGGATAGCTTTAAAGTTGCATGGAATGACATAGGAGAGCTATATCTATTAAAAGCTATTAGCCATGATAGCTAAAGAATGTTTTAGGCTATATTTTTCATTCCTGGAGTATTTAGACAAACCATAAAGGCTAATACCTTCTGAGCACACTCTGTTTATGACGTTCCCCGAGGGAATCTAACTACTACTATAATCTGAATCTGTTAACTTCATCTGGAAGAGCTGCCTTCAGTTCTTGAAGCAACATTTTCCTTTGTGTCTTGAAAATTGTATATAAAAGTGATTACTAGTGCCCATTTATCCTATGAAATTTCAGTACCATTTCCAGCTATAGCTGGGAGGATTTAGCCTGTTGAAGTATTTGTTGTCACAGCACTGCCATATAGATCTGAATCAGAATTTCATGTTGGAATTGCCTTTGACGTGCCCTTAGGAAAAAATGGTTTCAAAATCAGCTGTAATAGACTAGAGGGCAACCAGGGTGATTTCATGAACTGCAAATCTTTATGCCACTTTATGGTTTATTCTATTTTTCCTCAAGAAATTGGTTCCAGGTTTTTACTAGAAGTTGAGTTCCTATGATTCCAGGAATGAAGATTAATTTCTTAGACAGGTGTGCTCACACCTTTTTCAGGCTCCAGGTATTCAGGTTCACTTAAGATTTTACTCTCTAGTGCCAGATTTGTGGTTCACTGATACTGTTTTTTTTTCTGCTTCATACGGTGTAAGGTAATAACAAATATGAATTTGGCATTTAGAACAATCATGCCATAGTATAAAATCAAAGACATTTCTACAACAAGTGTTTTCGGTACAAATTTCCAGACCAAAGTTTTTTTTTAGGAAAACTTCATAAACTTTTTATTCAGAACTGCTCTCCTAAAGCCATCTTCCCAAAAGAATTTCAGGCCAGCTGCTAGATTAGATAGGATAGGACAGATGTGTGATTTCAGCAGGAATAATACGAGTGTTGAGATTGATATTGAAGATAGTTTTTGCTGTACAGCAAGCATTCATTCTGTTGTTCCCAGCATATCACAAAGTAGCTTGATTTTGATGAGCCAGCCATCAAATGAGTCATGCGTAGTTTAGTGATTTAGTAGTCATTATGAAGTTCATAATTCCCTTTCTAAGAATATCAACCTGCCCTTGAATACTGGTACCTGAGTTTTCCCATGCACTGAGTCTATACCACTTCTATAGTATATTCTGGAGAGGAGTCTTTTATATCCCAAAGAATTATAAACTGAACCAAGATCAATTTGCCTAGATCTGTGTTTCTGCAGAGTATGGAAAGGATATGGAGTCTCAATAAGTTGGAGAGGAGCCAGTTCTGCTATGAAAAAAAATGCTTGTGTCATGTATAATTTATCTGAAAATGAAACTTGTGAAAGCTGGGTGGTATGGAGACTGGCACAGGATCTTAAAAATAATTGACTTTCCTTGGAGAAATTTGGAATTTGCATAATGAATTACCTCACATTTTTAGAGTCCAGTTCAGTATCCCTGCTGTATTCGCAGTGGCATCATTGGAGAATGATAAGGTTGCTATACTTTTTTTCCATGCCTGTAAGCTTATGAACTCCTTCCAATAGAATTTGCCTCAACTCCTTCAAACCTTACCTGAAATGCAGCAATATTCTCTGGTGCCTGGATTGTTGAAAGATATCATCCAGGGGTGACAGGTTCTGGAGAACCAGTAGCGGAAATTTTGAGTAGTTCAGAGAACAGGTAGCAGAAATTTTGAGTAGTTCGGAGAACTGGCAAACACCACCTCTGGCTGGCCCCAGAGTGGGGAGGGAATGGGGATTTTGCAGTATCCTTCCCCTGGAGTGGGGAGGGAGTGGAGATTTTGCAGTATCCTTCCCCTGGAGTGGGGTGGGAGTGGAGATTTTGCAGTATCCTTCCCCTGCCATGCCCACCAAGCCACATCATGCCCACCAAGCCACACCCACAGAACTGGTAGTAAAATTTTTTGATTTCACCACTGGTATCATCCTAATCTCCAAAGACACTAATGGCCCAAATATTTTATGTTATATTCAAAGAGACTAAAATATTACGTTCTCCATGTTCTGTGTTTCAGCATTCACCCTGCCCAGCAATATATATAAGAATAATACAGTAACTGATTTTAGAATTCAAACACATAACATCACAGGCTTGACAATTGTCAGTAAAAAAGACAAAAAAAGTTTGGATTGTGGACGTGCAGTACCTGGAGACAGCAGAACAGAAGAAAAAGAACTGGAGAAGATAACAAAATACAAAGTCCTGCAAATAGAAATAGAACAACTGTGGCAAAAGAAAGCAAAGATAGTACAATAGTAATAGGTGCCTTGGGTGCAATCCCAAAACAATTGGAGCACCACTTGAACACGATTGGTATTGACAAATTCACCATCAGTCAATTGCAAAAAGCAGCTTTAATGGGAACAGCTTACATCCTATATTACCATCAAACATCCATATCTGCATATCCTAGATTCTTGAAAAGGACTTGATAGGTGGACGAAAATGCCAAAGCCAGTCTGAACATCTGTCTGACTATGTGATGGACCATAATAAAAAAAAAAACCCCAGTATTACTGTACATGGCTCACAAAAAAAAAATTATTTTAAAATTTATTTTTAAGACCCCTGACTCCCAAATGGCTCTGGGTGACTTGGAACACTGAAAAGATGAGACAGAGTAAGTGTGAGTTGCACAAGATGACATTCTTTAATTGACAGAACCCAAACACACCATTCTGGATTGAACCAATGGGCAGAAGCCACTGGAAATGAGTAGAGTTTGATGATTAATTTAAAACAATAACAATTAAGTTATTACTCTCTCTCATCCATTAAAATTACACTCATCTTCCAATCCTCGATGTATATTCAGCATATAGACTGAATAAAGAAGGAGAAAATGTACAGTTTTGTCTGTACCAAACTTTGCCAACCTAGATCCAGTCTCTTTCACCATGTTCCATCCAAACTGTGGTTTTCTATTTTGTGCATAGCTTTTGAATGAGGACAGTAAGATGTTCTGGGATTTCCATTTTCCTAAGCACATTCCTCAGCTTGATATGGTTGACATTATCAAAGACTTTTCTATAATTAAAATAGCACAAATTGATTTCTTTTAGCTGTTCTTTGGCATTCTTAATTATCTAGTATACATTAGTGATAACGTTCATCCACCTTTTCCAATATGAGTTTGAATGACTTGGCTAATTGAGAATCTCCATAGACATCTTTTCCTTGTGGGATTCTAATCTGCATTGGTTTATTTTGTTAGTATGTAAAATTAAGGATATTGTACAATAGTTTGCACATTCTGCTGATTTTCCTTTCTTTAATATAAGAAAGGAAAATCAGATTGGCTCTTCCAATCTATTGGCCATTGTAGTACTTTCCAGATTTGTTGCCATAGTCTGGCTGCCACCATTACTGATTCTTCTTCTATTGCTTATTCTTCTATGGATATTCCATCAATTCCAATCTGGTAATGACCAGAATGTTGATCTAACTTTATCTTATATTGTAAATGGGAATATTTTGTAATATCTCTACTGTGCAGAATTTCAATAACCTCTTTCAGTCTTTTTTCCTTGGCATAAATACTTGTTCAACATGTTAATTCAAAATTAGAATCTTTTTCTGAGTTTGAAAATCTTTTGAAATACTTTCCTTGTTCTTCCATGTTTGTTTTAATCATTGATGTTTTCACAGGTGTCATTTTAATATTGTACTGATTTTTGTCTCTTCTAACAGCTCTCTGAAATTCTTTATTAAGTTTGCTTATACCTTTGTCTTTCTTGGTCTAGCATTTTTTTCCTTTCTTGGCCAATTTATTAATTTGTTCTGTCATCCAGTTTGCTTTAATCTGGGGTTATTGGGTTTTTTTTGGTAATATTTTTTTACATTAATTCTTAACAATTTTCTGATTTCATTCCAAGTTATTCTAGTTTCCTGTTAATGAGGTTCAAGAATTCAAAATGATTTGTGATATTCTCTTTGAAAATGGTAGGCATCATGATCATACTGTGGAAATTGGTTGGCTTTGTTCTTCTGCTTTAGATTGAGTTGTCTCACATAGAAACAGTTTGTAATCTGTTCTATAGTCAATCCTTACATCTTTGCTGTTATAGCCAAATTCTTCCACCTCCTTGTACCAATAATTCAATTAATTTGATTTCTGCATATTTCATCAGATGTATAGATATTGGTTTTGTTGTTCGAATACTTTGTT